AGTTCTCCAGCCGCACGGGCTGCGCCGCCTGGCCAAGGAGGTGAGGGCGCTGCTGCGCCCGCGGCGGCGCCGGCTGGAGACGGCCCACCAGATCCCGCGGCTGCGCCAGGTGACGTTCGGGCTCGTGCTGACCGGGTGTTACATGCAGCCCCCCCCGCAGGTCCCGAGGCCTGAGGGGGGGAAGAAAGGGCGATTCCTGCCTCCCGAGGGAGGCATACATGGTGTACCTGTTCTGAGTCATGAGTCTTCGGCAGATTGCGTTTCTGACAACTTTTTGGAGTCGACAGAGGGTCGACCTTATTCCTCCTCCCCACCATTTGCCAAGGGTTTGTTCGAGAATCTGGGTTTGAACGCAGGAGCAGTCGGTGGGGCTGTCTCCATTTTTTTTTCGGGTCGCCGTGCTTTGAGTTTGCAGGCTGACGCCTATGCCGACGGTTCTCGACCTGCCCGCCCTTCTCTTTTGAAAGCTGTTCGTCGCACGCTGGCTTGGGCCAAGTCGGCCCTCGTGCGTAGCGACCCTAACCCTCCTCGTAAGTTTTTGGAGCTTTGTGGGCCTCTCATGCCTGGTGCCTCACCCAGGCTTCAGGAGCAGTTGCTGCGGCCTCTGGAGGCCGACGCTTTCCCGCTGGAACAGCTCGCACCAGTTATCGAGACCTGTAATGTTTCTGGTTGGGGATCTGGGCAGCTTTGGTTGCAGAAGACGGCCGCCGACGTGGTGGTCATGCAGGAGCATAAGCAGTTGCAGCACCAGCTGGCATCTGCATCATCGTGGGCTATTCGCCATGGGTGGAAGAGCCTGTGGGTGGCGGCAGTGACGGCTAGTGGAGGCGGAGCCTCTGCCGGAGTGGCGCTGTTCGTGCGTGAGGCGTTGGGATTGTCCGCGCCGCATTCTGGCCATCAAATTGTTGCCGGGCGAGCGCTAGTGGGCATCGTGGACATCCCTGGGCAAACGCAGCTGGCCATCATGTCCGCCTATTTCTACGATTGTCAGGGCTTATCGGGCGAACATATAGATTTGCTTTGCTCGTGTTTGTCCTTGGGGCAGGCCCTGGGTTACCCTTTTTCCTGGGGGCGGATTTCAATCTGGAGCCGTCCACGCTGCTTTCGGGCGGCCTCGGGTGTAGGCCAGGTGAAATCCAGTTTTTGATCCCCGACGGGCATACCTGCAAGTCTACGGCTGGCCTTAAGCAGTTCGATTTTTGTATCGCCTCATCGGGTGTTGCTAAGGCTGTTAGCCAAGTCCAGGTGATCTGCGAGTGTAGCCTCACCCCCCACTCGCCCGTGCAGGTGAAGTTGCATCCCAGGCTGGGCCGACTCCAGGCCCTGGCCTTTCGGCGACCGCCGCCGCTCCCCACGTGCCCCCTGGCCCCTGCTATGGTTTTTGAGGCGGTTCCCGCGCCTGCGAGGGTCCACGAGGTGCTGGAGTCGGCTAGGGCTGCGGTGGGGCAGGGGGACTGGGACAGTGCCCAAGAGGCCCTCGATCGCGCCTATAAGCTTTGGGCGAATGCTGCGGGGCGCGAGGTGTCCGCGGCCACTGGCAAGGTCTTGCCCGTGTGGGGCTCGAGAGGGAAGCCCCCTCAGATGGTTTGGAGGCCCATCTTGAACAAAAAAGTCAATGCGTCTCAAGGAGCCTCTAGCATGTCGAATGAGTTGTTCGCTTGCAGGTGGCTGGTCAACATGTTTTGTAACTTCGAAGGCTTTTGGTCTGCGGGCAGCCAGTCGGGCATCCTCTCGGTGCCCCAGGCCTTGGAGTCGCCGCCTCAGTGTTCGCAGTACTTAGGGCCAGCTGCCAGCTATCTGTCAGCGCTGCTCGAGTTTATTCGCGAGCTGCCGATGTACGGGGCCAAGGACGGGCCCGTCTTCGACCGTTTTACCCACCTGGTGGGCACCTTCCAAGTGGTTCTGTCGGAGGTGGAGGCGGGATCCAGGAAGAAAGCTAACCAGGAGTGGAGGGAGTGGCTTCTTTTCAAAGCGCATCGCGGGGCCCGACGCGTGCACCTGGTCTCCAAGGGGGCCTCTCCTTGGACCCCCACCGCCACCTTGTCCCTGGACGGGGTGGTGGTTGCGGACCCTTTGTCTTTACTCAAAGCGGAAGCTTCCAAGTTTTCTCAGCTTTGGGGGGGCGGAGGGACGGGGAGTTGGCTCGAGATTGGAGAGGTGCCCCCCCCCCGCCTCTGCCGCCCGTGCCTGTGGAAGCCATAAGGGATTTTTCTAGGAGGTTTAAGGACAATACCTCTGTCAGTGTGGATGGCTTCCACATCAAGCGCTTCTCGTTGATGAGTGACGCGTCGCTGCGTGCGGTCGTGGACCTGTTTGCTTTTATGGAGCATGCGGCCCTGATCCCTGTCCAGATTTCCGTCACTCTTCTTTCCCTTATCCCTAAAGCGAGCGGGGGGTTCCGTCCCATCGGGAACTTCTGCGCCCTGCGCCGTGCGCATGGGAAGGTTAGGCGCCCGCTGGCCCAGCAGTGGGCATTCACCCACTCTCGTGATTATTTTGC